AAAGCATTAAAAACAAGAGTGTCTAGGAATCCTTAAAGCCTTTCTCATCTCTCATGTGCACATATATCTTCGATTTTGAGACAGGTAGGCCTGACACTTAAAACCTGTGATGGCAGTTTGCAGTTGTTTTCTTTGGGTTTTGGCTCACAGACCTGTGCTTTCGAACAGTGAGTGGAACACCTCTGGAAAACAAATGCCTCTTTAAGCCCACACAGGCGCTCTGTAGTCAAGCCATCGGAGGATTTTCTGTGGGAACCCTCTCGTCCGGGCTGTGGGAGAGCAGTGCTGTGTATTTGAATGTGCATGTTTTTAAAAGCAGATCTATTGGCCTGTTATGCTCTCGAAAACTCTTACAGGATGTGTTCTTCTGTATATGCCTGAAGGTAAGAGCAGGTTGAAAACACAAATCCTTGCCAACTTCCCAAATAGCAGAAAAAACTTTTGCAGCAAACTTTGTAGCTTCACATGGTATTACATAATGCATACTTTTCAGTTCAGCAACCTCTACCTTGTATACACACAAATTGCTTGGACCATCTTGTCACAGCAAAAGGCAAAATAAAACGGTGATATGCGAAAGTGTGACAGCGTGAGCGGCTGGCGGCGAGCTTTGAGGTCACTGGTCTAATTACACTTGGGAGAGAGTGATTGGAGTTCAGAGGCAGAGATGGATGTGGGGAGCAAGGGCAAGTGGACAGACGGAGCAGGAAGTCGGACAAGTCAGGAAGGCAGAGTTTCAATTTAGATTCAAATCAAACCAGTCATGACTTGTTGCTACAGTGTATTAGATGGTGTATGTTTGCTCTCTGTACTGTGAGGCCAGTAATGTTGTGACAATACAAAATTTCAAACTTGATTTTTCTATTAATCAAAATGCATCATACTCAGTATCAATTTTGATGCATTGTGGGTCCCCCAAAAATTGTGATACCAATTGATCATGACGTATATCATTTCAATAATATAATTCCTTATAATATACAATTGAAAACATGTCATGTTTTTGATGGTAACAATTGCACCAATAAAATAAGCACTATGATGATTAAATATTTCAACCAAATTAGGTTATAAACGTGCTTTGTAACCTTTATTGAACTTCTGAATTTTATTGCGATACCATTGCAGAGGATTATGGTCGTATAGTCCCTGCTCTTAAACAGGTCGGAAACCCCTGTTTTAGACAGTACAATAGGTGATAATTATCAAAACTAAATCATTGTAGTTTCTTTATTATTTGTGTGTGGCACAGGCTGCTAATTCTGATATAGAACACACCTTTCTAAAACAAATGAGAACATGTAAAATATTGTCCTACTGATTTCTTTTTGTTTGTTTTGTTTTTGTAGTTTTTTTTGTCTAGTATTGGTACTTGATTGATCTAGTTTTAATTAATTAATCATTAATAATATTTCAAATAATTAGTAACACAGTATTGTAAATTACTGAATTATGTAATATGTATGTTTGGAGGGTTTTGGCATACAATAGAGATGTTGATTGTTTAGCCAAAATTGTACTTAAGTTAAAAAAAAAAAAAAAATAGAGTAGTACAGTAGTTACAGTAGATATAAAAAATTTTAAGCTGTGAAGTTATTCATGTAAACGTAACTCACACTTGTCTGTGCCATTGTTTCATCTATAGACTTGTGGTCAGGAAAGGGTGTAGCCTAGAATGAAGGAGGTTGTTATGGACTACAGCTATGTTTTGAATAATACTTTGTGGCTTCTTTTGTTTAAATCTGAGGTAATGATAGTTTGGTAGACGTCTATGAGTGAGAGAGGAATGCTGCTGTGGTGTATGTGGAGTTGGGGGGTAGGGGGGACTACGGGCCAGAGGAGCGCCCAGGGGTTAACGAGTGGTGTGAGAAAAACAGGCTGCCCGTGAGGAAGAGGAGGCAGGGTGTCTGTGTGAGGCAGGGCGATATATTTCCAGCTCAAGGATAGAATTAAACATTAAATGACTGAATGGATGATTTTTGCTGACTTTAAACAGTAAATAATGGCATCTGGGATCACTTTGTACTGGTTCTTGTATAGTTAAGAACTAAGAAAAAGTGGAAGATTTATTTGATTTTGTGTTTTTATTGTTTTATATAGCAGTAAGCACAAATGGATTATAAAACTGCTAAATGGAAAAATGTCAAAGCATGTCAAAATCTACCTGCTCTACCTGATGTGGCACCCTTGAAGCATTCCTGGGGAGGGCATCTGTATTCATTCCGATCTATATTCTAGTCTCCATCTTTTGATTTCTGATACAACATATGTTAAAAAACAGTTTTGTGTTGTTTTTGAGACCTAACCTTAAATGCATTGACATTTTAGGTTCCTGCAAACAACTTTATCATATAGTAAACAAATATTGTTCGATGTCTGCATTGCTCTGGCTTAGCCTGCCCGGAGCAATGTTGTTATAGAAAAGTACAGCTAGGAATAGCTTTTGCTTCTGAACATCTGTATTTCTATATTGTTAAACCCCATACATTTTGACTATGCAAGGAGCAGTCCATCCCATAATCCCCAGTAGTACAGGCCAGTCCCCAAAATGTGAGATGACAGTATTGACCCAAACACCTGCCACCTCCTTCCCCATACACACAAGAGCAAATGCACCCTTCTTTTCCATCCCCTTCTCACGCAAATAGACTGCAGCAGGCTGGATCCCCTCGCTGCCTATTTACCAGGACAGGGGGGTGAGGTGGAGGCGGGACAGACAGAGCAGACCCCCGCCATTGTTCTGGCCTGGGTTTAAGCGATGGGGGGAGGCAGGGATGGGACCAGGACTAAGATGGGAATCAGAGAGCCCAACAATACCACAAAGCCCCCCACTGCTCCTTGGACTTATGAGAATGACCTGCTCTGACAGACCAGGGGCAAGCTGTGACTTGGGACAAATGGAACCAAAACTATAGTACAACTTACACGGATGATATACTTGATCTTCACCTTAAATAGGGATGTCACAGTATCCAGTGTCAGTGTGATGATTATTGAGGAAAAAACTGATGTAAATGTTATTCACAATTAATTGATCACATTACCTAACAGCATAAAGTCCTTAATCTTCTTGCCTTCACATTGTCTAATAATATCTAACCATTGATGTGACTGAACATGTGACTAACTTTGTTAAATAAACATTCTAATGATAAAATAATGTAATAAAGAGTCATACACCAGATTAAAAGCATTTCACATTCAGATCGACTGTTTTGGAGTAAAGATTGATTTGATTTGAAACAGATACTTAATATTCTGGTTGTTTAGAGTTAAGATCTCAAATACTAGAGTAGTGTGTACCTAACCTTTTCAGAATAGAATGAAACTCGATTCTTTATCAGTTGCTATCAAACTCCTTCTTTAGTTTCAGTTGGGTACAATCACAACTATTAAACAATAACTGCTAGTTTTCTACTAGAGTGCCACTAGCCCTCAGTTTTGTTAAATTGACAACTCATAACACTAAACAGCCAAGAAATTATAGTACTGCTGATGTATATTTCAAGCGTATACATTATAATTATTTTCCATAACAAATCTAAACAAACCACTTGAGTTACATTATGTGCTTGCTTTCCACAGCAAGCAATGGTGACACCTTTGGTAAATATTTTGCTGAAGATTATGAAGATTATTAACATGAAAACATGAGTACAAGTTATTTTTGCCTTTCTATTCTTATTTGTCACTCTGATTTCCTCATCCCTAAAGCTCTTGAAGTATATTTTACATCCTGTGTAGGTGGACATGTCGTGTGTGTATGTGTGTGGTATCCAGCTGTGCCTTAGCTCTCACAGCGTACCTCTTTGTTGGCTCATTTTGGAGAAGGGTGGGAGGTGAAGCGCAGTTTGGTCATAATGGACTATTGATTGGTATGGGAATACACTGCCTCTGTACTGCGTGTGTTTTTACATTTATGTGTCATCCATTGCGTCCCTTGTTTCGTAAAGACTGGATGGCTAAATGAGCAGCTGTATGGGAGATACAAGTTGTCTTTTTGCTCACAGCTCTATATCCTTCACTTGTGTTGAATGTGTAGCTTATATGTGCCAGCTAGCTCAGTGTGGCCTATACTAAAGCACTGTTAAGAAGACTAACACTGCTTGCTTTTAAACTTTGAAAACTCGTGTGTGGACAACATTAAAAGAGCTCTCTGTTTTTGCGTCATGATTCCCCAGTTCTCCCCTTACAGATGTGAGGACTTTCACAGAAACTTGACACTTTATTTATCACCACAGTGCGTTTCTGCTAAACCTCAAAAGTTGCTAGTGTGAGGGAGAAAAACATTAGTGGAGGATGGTTCAAGAATGACCCTGTTTATGTCTAAGATAAGATAGTAATATGCGTTATGAAGGTCGACCTAAGCTTAAAAATATATTACTGTAGCTGCTGCTGCTGCTACTATTACAACTCCCACTACAGCCACTGCTGCTACTATGACCCTCATTTCTGCTTTATAGCCACAACTACAACTTTTTCATTTTCCTCACTACTACTACCACCTGACTTTAACAAAACTCCTTTAACTTTACAAATAGTATAGCAAGTATTATTAATAGAGTTATGTATTTATTTATTACAAACTTAGATATTATATACTATAATTTGAAAAAAAAAAAAAAAGTATAAGTTTTTATCTTTTCTAGGGCAGGCAGTCTTTTCACTGGGTTGTGCTAGGGCTGAACAATATGGCAATTAACTAGAAATTTCACTTTATGTTGACACGCTTGTTAAATGGCAAAAATATTGTTTTATACTTGTAGTTTTTAAATTTCAAACATGATTCTTGTATTAGTTTAGCAGTTCTTCTTTTCTTGCAGTCCTCTCTCAAATGTTAATGTATCTGTAGTTGTTTACAATGTGCACCCTAAACAGAGTCTTACATTTCAATTGCAATACTTGTCTGAAAGTGTTAATTAGACTTTATTTCCAAAATCATGCAGCCCTAGTTGTAGCAGTATTTGCTGGTAATTTATTTAGTAATGGGGTCAAATAGATTTTAACAGTCGTCTTTAACTTTATTTCATATTGTGCATAGAATACTTAATGAGATAAAACAGAAAAAGATCTTGCAGCTGTAAACACTTGTTCTGTTGGCTCACATGGTCACTCTTCTTGACACTTGAGACCCAGTCCAGATGTGAACATCAGAAATAGCCAGTCTGCTCTGAGGGATGAGTGGGAAAATAACAGCGGATTTCCTCCTCTTGCTCTGGTCCGGCCTGGGCAGTTTGTGTTTGGAGAAAGGACAGCACCTAAACATACACTGAGAAGAAAGAGGAAGAGCTTGTTTTCATTTAACACTGGTGTCATTAGCAGCTTAGTATAAAGGGAAATGTGTGGAGCTGTGAAATAAAACAATGTTAAGAATTGTGATAACAAGATTGTTGGACATTTATGAAAGTGAAATATGGCTCTAAAACTCTTGCTTCAAGCATGGAGAGCATATCAGTGGGAAATACTAATTAATTTCATTTCTTTTAGTTTCTGTTCCAGGGCATAGCCGCTATTTTGATTTTATTTTGACATATGTTTTATATCTTTGTCCAACTGTATTTAATAGTTCTTTTTTAATCCACTCACAGTGTAACATGAGTTTCTATTTTTACAGTCAATTAATTTACATTACTTAAGGTCTCAGATGGTACAATAACAAAGACTAATCTTATAGGCTATATACATGTATTAAAATGGCCATTTAGACTCACTCATTTGCCTATACGTACATGTCTTTTGCAATCAATAGACTTCCCATTGTAATCGCCACATCAAATCTTTATCTTCTAACGTGGACACCTATTTCCACACTAACCTACTCTGTATCATATTAATTTCCCTGTGTTAGAGGTTAATTAGCTGTAAGAAGTCAATGACGAACTAGCTTCACAAAGTCAACTTGAACTGTTCTTGAACGCCTTTTGGAGACGTATGCATTTCCCTTTATAGAGTTCATATTGCTGATGTTGCCAATGTCATGCTATATGGCCATTATTACATCTTATTTGCCCTTATGACCAAGAGGGCTTCTGCATTGTTTCCTTGTGCTGACTAATCTTATTACATTTCAATTTGCACATGTGACTGTCTGCTGGATGATAGGCTTACCATTGAAAAGGCAGCATCCCCATGACCCCCAATGAGAAGACCATTTAATAGGAAATAAGATCATTATCCACTGTTTTTAGCGGCCAAACTGGAGGGAAGCACTAAGTATTAATGAGTAACTGAGCGATGTGGAAACAGGGAGCTGAGCAGATGGAGGAGGGGCGTTAAGTGCCCAGATGAATGGGACAGTTATCTATGTCACCTTATGTTCTGTCATAGATTAAATTTAAATGTGGTAATTCTAGGAAGACCTATCAACAAACCAGCCCATGCAAATCACTAATATTTTAATAGATTTATATTGTAAGAACAGAAAATACACATGTCTAGTAAAATTGTAAAATTGTCTATGTAAAATTCTTATGCAAAATAAGACATAGGAAGAATTTATATGTACTTAAACATTATCATATTATAGCGACAGTGACATTCTTGGTTTGGTTGTCATTTATTCAGTTATGTATTTATTTTTTCTGTGTGTTTCGTGCTTACATTGAAGTAAAAAAAACTAGAGATACGAAGAACAAAAGTAGGATCCAACAGTTTCCTCACACCCTAAGACAAATGTGATAATGTTGTACAAATCTCAATTAACCATATTACCATAATAAGGGACAGAGAGTCAAAATAGTTTCAAACTTAGCTTTATTAAGACAGTGTAATAGTACCTTATAGTTCAGTTCCTGTCAGTGTGATATGTGTCAGAAATGCACTTCTGGTTTGAGAAGTGCCTCACCAGCCATATCTTACTAAGTCCCTCTGATTTCAATAGTGTAAATCATGAGTGGATAGATAGGTGCAGGGTAGTCATTTTCAGTGCCCGAGTTTAAGACATATGATTGTTCTTGCACTAACTTCCCTCCTCCACCACCACCTTATCCTCCTCTGATTATGATCAATTATCCAGTTATAATTATACGCTGGCAGTAACTCAGCTTATGGGCCCTGGCACTTTGTATAATAGCCTGTAATAATGGTGTCACTCACATTTCACGTAGACCACGGTTTCAGGCGTTCTCATCAGCTGAAATTAATACTACACTTTCCCAACTAAATCTCCTTTTAAGTTTCAAGGCTTTGATGGTGATGGCTTTCCACTGGAGCGGCCGCTGTGAAGTTTGTTCTTGAAAACGTGCCAACAAATATAGAACACACGTATGTAGGGATGTTTTAATGAGCTGATTGACCTGACAAGGAGGAAAGAATAAAGATGTGGTTTACTCTCTAAGTGCTTCTTGTAAAGAGATTAAGACCTACATCAATACATAATTTAAAACATCCGCTATTTTTCTGTCAACAGAAGGCAACATATATCCAGAGGCATGCCAATCAATTTGAATATTATCAATGAATTATTCAAGTGTAATTATATGTATGTTATTTTTCTTTTTTTACTATTATGTGACTATTCAAAGGATAAATCATATTTTTTCACACATATGCCCAAACAGGTTTTAAAAAGGGCTAACTGTTTTTATTAAGAGAAATATATATATATATATATATATATATATATATATATATATATATATATATATATATATATATATATATATATATATATATATATATATATATATATATATTATTTATTTTTTTTTTGTCATATCCCCACCCAGCCCTAGTTTTAACCATATTTTCAACATTTGTGACATACACCTGTACAGTATACACCACACTGCATCAAAAATAAAACTGCCTTCATGTTTTTTCTTTCTGTTTTGTCGTTGAATGTCTGTGTGACCTCATTCAGCTACAGTTTAAGAAACAGAGCAAACTGTCTCAGAGCCACTTCCTGTTGTGCACTTAAGATCCCTGTCATGTGATAGTGATAGTGTCTGTAGAGGCGTGTGCACGGGGCCATCGTGGTGGGAGGGAATATTGTGGCACTGCTGATCTTGCTGATGTGAATGCAGACCCCCCCCCACACACACACACACACACACACACACATAACCCTCTCTTCTCCTCCTCCCTTCCACCCCGCCTCCCTCACCCTAATTGTGTAAAGTGTCGACTCAGCCAGTGTGTTGTCGTGCATGGCTCTGCTTCTTCCACAAGCAGAACATGTGTAGTAGTAGACCTAAGAGGAGAACTTTGAATGCATGATGGACACATACAATCTACATAAAAAATGAATAAGTGAATGAGAATGACCTTGATATGTAAGCTTCGAAAAGGTCAAGTTGTTTCAGAAATTAACCTGATGCTCGAATACAAACTGTATTTTTCAGTAGTGTTGTTCAAAGTGATATAAAATATAATTACAAAGGGAAATGTTTCATCTAGTTACCCTTATGTCTAATTATCATTATATAATTAAGATGATTACTTAATGACATTGAGGATCTCCAAAGGTTATGTTAAATATTATGTAACATTACAGAATAAAAACATTACAAACTAACCTCTGTCTTTCTTGTTCTTACTTTCAGGTGGAAGCAGCTCTTGCCTCAGGGGGAATGAAGAGAAGATGTGGATGTAATGTCAAACAAATTCTGACATAATGAAGACTTGAATGGATGTCAAATAAGTTGCTAATTGCACATAAAGTAAATGAAAACCACTGTATGATATTTAGAGGTTCCCTGGACATTGCTAGATGAGCTACAGATAACAGTAGATTTCTATTTGAGCTTGAAAAAGGCCAAAAAGATGTCCTCAGTTATCAACCCCCGAGACAGTGTGGAGGTGATGGAAAAAGAGAGCAAGAAGATAGTGGATGAAAAAGCCATTCCTGAAAGTGAAGATGGCGCCAATGACAAAGGCTCATTCAACTGTAACGTGTGTGGACGCAGCTTCCCCTTCCTCAGCTCTCTATCCCAGCACATGAGGCGGCACACGGGGGCACGACCCTACAAGTGCCCCTACTGCGACCACCGGGCCTCCCAGAAGGGCAACCTCAAAGTGCACATTCGAAGCCACAATCTCGGAACTCTGTCTACTCACCATTCCAATGAGGACGATGGGGGGGAGGAGGAGGAGATGAGCGTTTCAGAGGGGCTTGACGGGGGAACGAGCCCCACTAAAAGCAGTTCAGCGTGCAACAAAATGATCAATGGTAACGCGACAGAGGAGAGCCGTAGGAAGCTGCCTGTAAGGAGTTTGAAAAGAGAGAAATCAGCATCGGACCAGCGGCCTTTCTGTTGTCGCTTGTGTGGTTTTGAAGCACAGAGGGAAGACCAATTGTTAAGTCACATAGAGAAAGTTCACATTACAGCAGACGCAGAGGAAGAGACTGTAGTGAAGGAGGAGGCCTTGTCTGAACCTGATGCAGCTCCATCTCAAGATGACGGTAGCTTCCCCTGTGAGACATGTGGCCAAGTCTTCACCCAGGCCTGGTTCTTAAAATCACATATGAAAAAACACGCTGGAATTTTTGACCACTGCTGCAGAATCTGTGGACGGCGGTTTCGTGAGGCCTGGTTTCTCAAGTCTCACATGAAAACTCACAACACAAAATCCAGGTCACGATCGAGAGCTGATTCCTCCGAGCACCCTGCTACCATCAACGATGTGGCGCAAGACCCTGAAATTGTCTCCTCTGTTACATCCAGCTATCAAATGTGCTCCAAATGTGGCAATCTCTTCCATACTAAAGAAAGCCTGCGAGCACATGACAAAGTTCACAGTTTTAGTTATGGGAAGAAATCTCAAAACCAATGCAGGCCTTGTGAAGAGGATCCTCCCGCTGCTAAGAGATGTCTCCTTGACTACTTAAGACTAAAACCTGTAGAGGAAAATACACAGAATGAAGAGGCGGAATGTGAAGACAAGGTGTTGGGTCAGAGGATTCCAGAGTTGGATCCTGTTTGTAGCTATCAGGCTTGGCAGTTAGCCACGAAAGGCAAGGTGGTAGAACCTGTTGAACCCAGTCATAAGACATCTAACGGAGGAGGAAGTAGCACAGAGGAGGGCTTGGGTACGGCTGCTGTGGTCTTCGAGAAAGAGAGCAGTCGTTATGTGTTGCAGGGTCAGGAGAAGAAGGGCCCAGGCAGACGCAGTAGCTCCGCACAGGGCAGTCAAGCTTCATCAGGCGAGAGGACACCAGAGAGCCTCAGTGACTCAGAGTACAGACCTGCATCTCGACAGGACAGAAAGCGCCCCTCCCAGTCCCCAGCTCCATCTAAGGTCAACGAGTGCCTGGAGTGTGGGAAGGTGTTCCGCAGTCGCCACCAGATGGTTCTACACCAGAAGGTCCACAGCAAAGACAGAAGTGGCAGGGCTTCTGGAGGAAAAGACAGCACCACAAAACAGGACCGCTGTGGCTCCAACAGTGATCCTGATTCAAGGTCCCCAAGTCGACCCAGCACCCCGGGATACGGAGACTCTCCTCCAGCCTCAGCAATGGGACAAGAGGCCTCTGAGATGGGCTCTGCTAATGCTGGAGTCATAGCAGGTGAGTCAATGTAATAATTTGTGAAATTCAGATTCAGAATTTCAGAACAAATTCAAATTCAGAACAAAAATACCAACATTGATTTATTGATTATTATGTAATTTTATGCACATGTAAAACATGAAAAAAAGTCTACATTTTCAATGTACATAGTATTTTTGTATTATAACATTATTATTACTTATACAAAGAAAATACACTGCTTGCTCGAAAAGGAGTGAGAAGTGTCACAGTTTTAAATTTTACATCATTAGTAATATGCATATTTAACATTCTCAAAACAACAATACGACAGTATACACTTTTAACATATTTAACACAAAAAAATTATGTAATTTCTCCAAACCAAAGGACTGACTGTGGAATGAATTAAAATTTGCTTAATGGCACTGCCCTCCTAGTCATTGACTGTATGCTAAATTGATCAGCTATACTGATGCAGTGAGCCTTTGTTGATGTACTCTTTCCTGATGGCTTACATTATCACATATTGCGTGGTGTAAATATTTAAATAGTTGAGCATATTCACATAGTATAATTACATTTGTCTAGCTAATTATCTCTAAGATCACAAATGCTCTTTTCTGACAAACAGTCAGTTTGATTTCTCACAGTGAAATGAGTGGCACTTTCCAGGACTCCCACTCGGGACCTCTCACTTAGTCTCTGTAGTAAACATCTGTTCATGAAATGTGCTTTGTGTGGGTCCAGGCTTAGACCAGTGTGAACCAGGGCCCTCGTGTGGTTGAATCATAGAATTACATCTGACTTCTACTCTTTTATAGTCCCGAACACATGCGGGATCAAACAGTCCATAAACTTCCAAGTGTTAACAAGAACTATATTTATAAGTCTGCACTTCATCCTGATCATATAGTTTTAGGATTTGGGGGATTTATTGTAAAATTAAAGTGTCTTTTCAATGACTTGTCAGCACAGTGCATTTTTGGAATGCTTTCCATTTTTTCACCTCCACAACCAATAAACACAGCCGAGCAAAACAGAAAGGCTAGCCATGCAAGGTTAAAACCATCTGTGTAATTATCACAAAAGAACAGAGTGCTCTAGATGAAGTGTTAATACTTTTAATACCCTTTGATTTTCGACTACTGTAGCTCCTCGGACTGTAGTAGACCAGGATGCAACACTGTGCTTAGAAGTGATTGTTTCCACTCTTCCCTGTTAGTAGAGACTTTCAAAAATAGCCTGAGCTTTTCTTCAGGCCTGATCGAGCTGTGAGCTATTTCAGGTCTTCCTGTCTCAGGAAACTCCCCGCACCCCCCTTATCTCCGTGTGAATATGCTTTTTGCTCCTTTTTTGTCACCAGTAAGAAAAATATGTCTAGATGTTTACTTTTATCTAGTCAGCAAAATTTGTTGTGTTTGTAGTATCTCATATGAGTCATAATAATAATTGCTTTTCAAGTCAAAGAAAAAACAACTTTGAGTTAAAGCATGTGATCAAATATAATATCAGTATAGGTTCAATTTAGTATATGTGTAGTGTCTCTTTAAGGTTATTTTGTGGGACATCGTACTTGTCTCTCATCCCTTCTTAGTGGAGAGGGAGTCAGGCAGACTGATGTCTAAAGGATTGGTTATTTATAGTCTCCTCCCAGTGGACTGAAATGCAGGCAACAGGGAAAAGACAATCAGAGGACAGAGATGCTAGTCCTAAATACCCAATACTGTGCTACTGGAAACTTTCTCATCTGGTGTTGTTTATTGTCTGTAATTATAAAACTGACAAAACTGACAAGGGACACTAATTTATTCGGGATTAGAATAAATGTTGTGATATTTTATCTTAAGGATGTATGATTTTTAACACAAACACCATCATCTTTTCAGTTTGTATTGTAATGTGTTGTAATTGTGGTCAATGGATTTAGGTGATGTCACTGTAGTAGTTGTCATTTTATCATATTTTCACATATCAGTCTTTAATGTTTGTTAGAATAAGTCATTTTCATAAACAAGACTGTTTAGATTTGCTACAGCTGAGTAGAACCTGACCTTGGTGGTCTGAGCTGTGAGTGTTGCCAACAGAAAAGCCAAATAAAAAACAGATGTGGGCTACTACTGTGGGTGGAAGAGAATCAACGTGTGCTGCTGTAATAATCCTTATTACATTAGATCACAAGAGTTATATTTTTCTATGATCATGATTATATTATGCTTTTTATTCATTCTCAACTAATAGGTCAGCTGAATATGTGCCAGTTATCAAGGTACAAACCCAACAACTTTACAAGTTAAAACAGGTCATGTCTGCCATCTTGTGGACCCTGTGTGTAGCTACATGTGTGTAGATTCAAAGATTAAAGCTCTCTTTTACAATTTACTAAGGCCTATACTCCATTCTGTAGGAAGTTAATATTAATGATATCTTTATATTTTTATTATATGTATCTTAACTTTATCTAACATTTTATATTGCTATTCTAATTTCTTCAATTAAAAAATTACCCATATTGGTTTATAAAGCCTTACTAGTAAATGTGTTACATTTTTCTGACTATATATTTAGAACATGTTTCATTCACTTTTGAAGTACGAAATGATCTTTTTAGTTTTATGTTCTCTACTGAGCTCCTCCCTGACTTAAATGTAATATTGTTAAATGCTGCACCCTGGTGGTGACTTAGGGGAACAATCCCATGACAGTGTGAGATGAAGACACGTTGCAGTGAAGTAATGAGCTCTGACTTTTGGCCAGTAGCAGCAGGAGTTCTGTGCACTCTCTACAGTCTCTGACCTTTCTGTTGTGATTTCTCTTTCCCACAGATGTGAAGCCCTATGTCTGCAGCCTGTGTGATTTTGTTACTACTGATTCCAGCTCTTACAAGACTCATCTTCGTGTTCAACATCCAGGTTCCCATGACGACAGCCCCAGCCCAAGCTCCAGCTCTGACCGAGGGACCCCCAGTGGCTTCTCTAAACTAAAGAAAGCTCTTCTTCATAGCATGAACAACTCTGTTTCCTCTTCTACTGACCTTTCGCTGAATTCCTCTTTGCTCGACCCAAGTTCTGTACCTGTAAATCTGTGTGTTAGAACAGAGGAGCATAGGGGTACAAGCACCATGGCGATGGACAGGAAGAACCTCCCCAGTCACAAGTGTTCCTTCTGCTCTCACTCCACCCGCTACCCTGAGGTCCTGTGGATGCACCAGACTGTGGCACACCGCATCAACAGCAGTAGCTCTAGTCTTGCTCCAAAATGGGCCCCTAAAAACACCCCAAAAAGCTCCAAAGAGAATTCACTCTCCTGGAGGAGGCGTACAGGCCCACCACCTGTTCTGGAAGGAAAGGAATGCCCACCTTTGACCCCACTGTCAAGATCAAAACGCACCCAACCACCAAACCATTCAAATGAACCAATTAAGAAAAGCAGACCCAGCAGTAATTCCACTATACCATCATCCTCAACATCTGCCTTTTCTAAGAAAGCAGTGTCAAGCCAAAGTGGTAGGCCTCCTGTACGTCCACAAGGGGGCAGCACCAGCAACATAAGATCCACACCAGAACAGAGTCACCAGTCTTATTTTAAACCCAAAGTAGACAATATTTACCCCCGGACATCCTCTTCATCGTCTTTGGAGAAAAGTTCTAACTCCTTATTACGTTCTTCAAAATCTAGTCCTAGCCCAACTCAGGCCCCACGGACAAATGAGCGCTATGTGATGCCTCAGGAGGGGTTAGGGTTCATGCTGTCCAGTAAACATGCACTAGCAGACTACAACAGAGCACGGGGATCCCATCACCAGCCCGTATCCAGCTCTCACAGCCAAAGCCGAGCTAATGCTACAAGGGCCAGTGCAATCACCCACAGCTCAACACACAGTAACCTATACGCACAGGTCCAAGGAGGAGCCCTGCAGAACCACTCATCTGCTGCTCTGCCTTCAGAAGGTCATAAAGAGGTCAGGCAGGAGTCAGGGTCTGAGGCTGCTGCAGCTGAGATGCCCGCAGATGTCCTCGGCTTTCTCAAGAACTACAGCCCACATGAACTGGCAGCGCTCTATCACCGTTGGGGAGCAGCCAATGCCATGCTGGACCCCACAGGTATCATTTTATTTTCTACTTTGGGGATGGAAGAAAGACAAAAAACCTGAACCCCCTGAAAAAAAAACTGATGAACTTTGTAATTATAGATAAGCTTAATTGTGACACAGTAGAATAAGCTTTCAATCAGAACAATATACTCAGATTCATCCATTTAAAAAATGTTTTTCCCCACGAGGTCTAAAGTGCTGCCCCCAAGGGGTAAAAAAAAGAAACAGCAGTTTTCTCTACTTCTCAGTCTTGGCACCAGTACCAGATAGAGCTTTGTTGACAGACGCCACATAGTATTTCCTTTTAAATGGAAAGAGGCCGAGTAGACCAAGAGTGAATTGTAAAATTACCTTGTCTCATTCTTAGATCAAGTATAAAAGAAAAAAAAAAAAAACACTCATGAGCGCACAAAGGAAAGGGCTACAGAATCAAAGCTTATGATAAAAATGTCACATTTACAGAGGTCTCTTGATTCAAGCTGTTATGAACAACACTGACAGACCTGACAGAATAAACGAGGACAAGACACCTGCAATTACACATGCACATATAACACTATTAGCCTCCTGAGCAGGCTGTCGGCTCTCACTCGCACTCACCATCTGGCAGTGCAAGATTGACAGACACGTTTGCTCCTGTGTTCTGACAGCACTTTGAATAATCTAAACAGTGCCACACGCAGGTTTGTGAGCCATGCTAAAAGGCTGGATCTGGGGCAGCTCGCGTGTGTAGTTGTGCGTCCATATGTGCCTGGTATTTGGATGCAAAGTGTGTGTATTTTTTTCCCTGTGAAAGATGTGAGAGAACCTTTGCTACTCTCAGGTCTGCGAGGCATAGACTGTAGCTGTACTCTCCGAGAAAGCTGTCACAAACAGTTTGGGTCACGGCTCTGCTGATGAGAGACTCGCGCAGATGCGAATGGAGCGCAGCGAGGCACACAGAGAGGCAACAGAAGAGGAAAAAAGAGAGATGAGACAGAATAATTACCCCACCAGCTGGTTTGGAAATGGTCATTACCAAACATCAGTATTATTTGCCCATTTTTGCTTGTGCGTCTGAGGTCAAGTGGGGCTGTGTGGAGCCAGGGGTCAGATACAACAGCCCCAGAGCAGGCGCTGACATCGCTGTCACCCGTCCAGGCGCATATCGTCACTACGCGCCGCAGCCCTTTGAGTCAAAGGGTATAAAGTGACCTTTTTTGAGTGTCTTTCTCCCTCTCTCGGTAATCTGTGTAGGGTGCCTGTGTCCGCCTGTGTTTTGCATCGCGCTCTGTCTTGTCTTTCATTAGTTCCTCAGTGAGAAGGTCTGGCAGGCTGCAGGATAGGGAGTGTATGCAGAGGCCAAGAGTGGAGATGCCAGACACACTCGCTGTCACCTCCACTGCACCAGAGTCCTCCTTGAATCACTATGCTAAAGCTAGCCCCTGTTTGCTTCACCCACATGTCTCTTCACATGACTGAGGCTGTGGCCAGGTCAATGTCGGACTAATGTTGTGCCTTCAGGCTCATTATCCATCAGCTGCAGAGGCCACAGACAGACACTTAAACATCTACGCTTATTACTGTTTCTATTGTGCTGTTAACACATAGTCGAAATTTCCATTGAGTGATTGAATTGTTGTGTTGATTTTTTGACAACTCGGTTTAAGCTAAATGTTTGCTTTTGCCCAATTAGCATCTGCTTTTCCGACTGCATTTAGACTTCCCATCCCTTAACAATTAATTTTCTGGTGGCATTTTTTCTTAAAGTGGCTCATTATACTTTCAGAACTCTCATTAGCCGTATTAGGCAGAAGTTGGTTGGGTTTGCCATACTTTCTTTTGGTTGTTAAGTTGGCCCTAAAGTTAGCCATGAAAGTTAGGCCATTAGGATATTTAGCTTTGTTTACCAAAAAGTAGCACAATTACACTTTTCTTTGGATGTTTTTGAGCTGAAAGTTAAATCTGGTTAATTCATGAATAGAATACAACTCGAAAAACAAACCTCTAACTTTCTGATTTTCTGTTCGAATAATTAAACGATTTTAGCCTTAAACTGAGCTAAACAAAAGCTGTATTTTCTTCAAAGGCCTGTTGCCTGTGATGCTCAAGTGGCTTCTCTACAGTAGTAGTGTTTGTGCCACAGTCCATGTCTCACGTTCTCCTCTGGACCAAACCGGGCGCAGCAGACGCATCCACGTGCACTCACCTGACATGTGACATGCGGGCAGCGGAGCGGGCACATCACAGCCAGAGCCTTTTAATTGCCTGTAATTTATGCAGCGTGTGTGTGTGCTGCATGTGTGTGGCTGTCAGCCTCTGAGATGATGCTGTGTGACAGCTGCAGCCCAGCCCCCGGAGCGGCCCGCTCATAATGACACATTAGACATACTAATGATGCCGGCACTAGTCCACTACTGATGCTCTCCAGCCACTGCCACTGCCCACTCCCTCAGCCACTGCGCCCTTTATATCTTCATTCTCTGGTGCACTGATGGCCTAACGTGGTTAAACGTTGATTTAAGTTAGATTTGTATAAAAAAGATGATTTTAGATTTTTTGGTGGTACAACCATTTAGACTCTAATTAATGTCTCTAATTGTGTTCATTATCTGTTGTCTGTGTTCAGGGATGCTGCGATCTCTAATGCGGCAAGGACAATACTTCTGTCATGAGTGTGGAAAGAGCTTTAGCCAGCCAAGCCACCTGCGCACACACATGAGGTCCCACACAGGTAAGCATACACGACACTGTAAACTTTACCTTATCCACTCTGGAAAGTACAGCACATTTCTGAAAAGCTCCAAAGTTGCACCACTTACTTGTTATGAATGTTTTTCCGAGACATTTCTTAAACAGCCACTCTTCACATGCCACCTGTGAACACGTAGCGTCTCCCCTGCAGCCATTAATCCAGCCAGAAACATGCACATGAGATATAGAGAAAATATGCATGGGGGGATTCACATTTGCCACAATATTTCATCATCAAACCCTCTATATGTCTGCTTATTCCCAGCCTTTTCCTAAATAAATCAAAACCGATCTTTTTGTTCACTTGAGTGTGACAGCCAGTCTGGGAGTCCTTCCCCGCCCTGGGCTGGGCAGCTGTCTCTATTTTTTAAACTGAAACATGATTTGCTCCGGATACTGACCTGTGACAAATTGTATACATTATTAATCACATGTCAATTAGAGAGACGGAATTGCGCATTCTAATGAAGCAGAACTGCATTTGTCTGTGCCAACCTCAGGAATCCATTTGCATGTGTCCCTGTGCCATTCACCAAATAGCTTCATTTAGACATCTCCCCTGACTTCAGATGTGGGTAGAGTAGACAAGGGTGTACTAAAGTAGAAGTATTATGATATCAAAATAGTATTATCAGAAAGTAAACCACACAAATAATGTAAAAGTAGTGGGAAAAAGTATTGGGAAAAACATTAAAACACAACACTTCAAGTCGCATATGAAATCAATACAATTAAGAGTTCTGTTGTCAATGCAATACAATGAATTAAATGTAGTACGAATTACTTAATTATTATTTAAAACGTTTAACCAATTACTACCCACGTCATCTTGACTTTATTGTCTACTTTTCTCTACCCTTGGTTACTTACTTCTTACCTCTGAGTCCTGCCTCTGCTGCTCCTGTCATGTCCATCACTCGGGCTGGCAGTGATCACGCTAGACACTGAGATAAGTAGCTTCTTTATAGAGAGTGTGAATGATATGTGGCACAGCTCGTGATTCTAAGTGACAGAGGCCAAATGGTAAGTGATGCAGTGCTAAGCTAGCGAACCCCCCTCCACACCAGCACTACCCCTTCAGCCTTATAGTAAACACATACACAGCCAAACCTCTGCCAACTAAATCTATAATTACTGTTGTCACCAGCGCTTGTCTGTGGCATGGACGTGCACATGCGGAAAAGGCCAGGCACCCCGAGGCCCCCTATTAACATGCGTCATATTAAATCACTGACTCGCCTCCACCAGGTTGCATCATCATCATCACCGCCATCATCGTCTTCATCACTGCCAGCCTAACCCCCCTGACTCCTGATTTAGTAAAAAAAAAAAAAAAAAAAAAAAGAAACAGGACCGGGGGGGTTGCTAATTCGCCGGTGGCTGCTTTGCTGGTGGTGGTAGTTGGGGGAAAGAAATTGAATGAAAAAAAACAAAAAACAATCATAAGTGCTTGTCTTGTTGTGCTAGAGCTTTTAACCAAATGCCCTCCTCCCTTCCTTCCTCCTTCCTCATCCTCACCCCGAACCCCCTCTCCTCCTCCCTCACCCCCCTCCGCAGTTGGGTTTGATTTTAACGGACTCCACAGAGGCACTGACGCCACTCACGCCACCGCTTCTGAGGCTCCCAAACAAGTATGTGGCACTACGCCTTTGATCACTGGGCACCCTCATGGCTTCTTCCCCTCTTTTCTTTTCTTTTTTTTTATTTGCATGTTTTCTGATGATTACTGTCTCGCCTCGGCATGCCTCTCTCTGTACATGTGTCTCTTTTACACCCCCTTCACCTGTGTTGTATTAGGCATGTGCGCCACTCCACACACCTGGCATTAACACCTGGTATACTCACATCTGAATTGTTTTGCTGGATCAAACCACACCTGACACTTAAGACTCTAAAAACTCCAGTATGGTGCCTTTAGTTTTAACCCTGTACTGCCCAATTTAGTTAGATTATGGTTAGAGTTTATTATGAAGTATTCTGAAGTACTTGGATTGAACTGACAGTCATATCTCACATCCAGTTAGAATTAAAATCAAGCAGAAAACTGTAAAGTAATTCTCTATCAAAGCTTTTTTTTTTTTAAAAAGGCATTATTATTGCAAAATAAGATTGTAGAATTTGATAGAGATGATTATTAGATTATACAGCACATTTACAACAACTACAGAGTGCTGTACATAATAACAAATATTATTTGAAATTCACTCAGCAGTGAAAATTTGAAAATGTCTTATCTTAATACCATATATTTCTTTTTCATTAAAAGACAGGATATTCAGTTATCTACAGAGAAAATTCTATTATATAAAATAATGACAGACTTGCCAATTCACAATTCTGATTTGATTCTGATTAACTATGTAGCTTTAATGTGGATTTTCAGTAGAAACCAAATCATTTTTCCAGTATGTATAAAATTACAATACGTAAAAAACACTCTGGACCAATATATATAAAATACAGTATTTCTTATTCTATCTTGTCACCCATTGTTATTTCCAAGTATGTCAAACAGCAGAAATAAGGCATGGAGGTAACTCAGGAGTAAATTTGCAGTGCTTTGACACTGGTGTTGAGTTGGCTCGCACACGGCGCTCCTCCATCTTAATTAATCACACACATGCATGGACGGAGATTTACCTCACCATATGAATGATGGGACGAGGCGCAGCGCACAAGTCCAATTAGATGTAGTGTTGATGCTGCTTTACGGCCACGATAACCTTTACTATAATGTAGTGCTGCGGTGCCGTCAGCCATGTTTCCTCCAGGACAGGCTCTTCTTCTATAAGTTTCCTCTCACGTAGCAAACCTCACGCCATCTCTCCAACTATTTTAGATTTTTGTATGATTAATTATACCTTTTTTGTTTTTTATCTCTCTCCACCTCACACCCCCCATCTCCCTTTTCTCTATGTTTTGTTTCTGATGATGTATGATAACAGCTATATTTCCCTGTTTCTTCTACTGGGAGCAGGGTGCGGGAGGGGCACGGGGAGTCATTTGTTTTCCCACTTTGATATTCTTCCATTTATCAAAATGATAATTAGGTGCAATTAAATGGCAATCTCATTTGTTTTGTTCAGGTGTGTGTTGCTTATATTTTATTATTCTTGCCTTTTTTGCTGCAGAGGTGTCTATGCCATTGTAGGTCAGTCTAATTAAAGGAGGGACTGCAGAGAGTATAGGTGGTATATGGGGGTGCTAGGGCTGATTGAGAAAAATACACATAGTAAAAAGTAGGACTGTTGCTTTTCTCCAGATGGCAATATCAGAGAAGGGGAGAGAGAGCAGCCTGTCCATCTGGGTCAGGGTAGACGAGCCCAGTTAATGTCTTAAGTGAAATTAGGTGTGGAAAATGAATAGTGAAAGGTGCGTTTTGACCTGCATAATGTTTCCCTGCTCGTACATGAGCACAGTCATGTGTCTTAGCTAATGTTTGTTACTGTTTGTACCATTCCTCTCTTTCTCTCTTTACATTACTCTGCCCCATTGTTTTATTTATATTTTCAAATGCTGCCTTCATGTGGTTATTGGATGTGTATTAATAATTTTGTAGGTAAAATTATAATATTAAGAAAAAAAATAAGAGGCTGATGTACGGTACAGTGTGTACAGTGTACACACAACAACATCAGCTGATAACAGTGCTGAAAACTGCATTCATTTCCTTAAAACATAAGCAAAATAAGACAGAAATTATCCAAAAGTTTAATGTAGCTGTTATTGTTTTGTATAAATAAAAGTCCAAATATTATGAAAATTTTATGCAAACTACAACCAGTAAAGAGCTTACAATCAATTTATATGTCTAACCAGGATATCGGCTGAACTGACATTTGGAAGCCGATATCCCATCCTGAAGCTTATCCAGTATCAGTGACGGTATTCAATACCAGTATCAGTTCAGTACTTCCCTATTTGCTATGGACCTTGTACATGAATTGACCCTCGTGTACATGCACCATATTAAGTCACAAGGTGATTTTTCATGCATAATCAATGTAAATGTCAATATTTATTTGTGCTTGCCATTCACACAGTAGACACAATCTGGTCTTCAAACTAACAACACTGGTTTTTAGTGTCCAAATTGTAAGATGCCCAATGGCAGTGGTATTCTTCATGAACACATGAATGCAGCATAAATCCCTCTCTCCCATATACACAATTTGACTGTTGTTTTCCTCGTCCACCAGGGGAGAGGCCATTCTGCTGCCAGCTCTGCCCATACCGAGCCTCTCAGAAAGGGAACCTAAAGACACACGTCCAGAGTGTCCACCACATGCCCTTTGACAACAGCCAGTGTCCAGAGACCAAGGCACTACAAGTGGACCGAACAGAGCAGGGAGGCCTGGTTTCCAAGCATGTCCCGAGACCACAACAGCAATGAAAGATTATTTAAGATAGAGGACCTGAATTGGCAATTTTGGCAGACTAACTTGAGAAGACAAACCCACAATGGTAACAATTTTGAATGTCGTGGAGCTGATTTTTTGAGGAATTTCTCTTGTTAGAAATTCCAGGTCACAATGACAAATGGATTTATTTTGGAAATGTTTTCTTTACAAACGACTCCCTTGTCTTAAAGTTTGAATAATGAAGCACTGACGAAGGGTTGTTTACATCACCTTTACAGATAGAAGCCCTCATAATTTAAAATGGATACCCCTGCTGCCATTTTGGAGGAACTGGATACAAGGTGTCTATTATCAAAGTGGATTTTTATTTTTTTTTTTGTGGACATTGCTTTGCTGCCCTCTTTATTTGAATTTTATGGTAATAGATACCAATCATATGACCCAGGCTTGAGTGAAAGAACGCACCCTTCTTTTGTACTAAACATCTTTGATATTTGTTTCAACATAATCAAATTGGATACTTGCCTCTTGCCTGCATGTTTGTGCCCTCCCCACTCTAACATCTGGGAAGTGCAGTGACCACTTGGAAGCTGCGATGATTAGAAGAAGTGCTTGGATAAAGGAGAGAGAGAAAAAGAAGTGCGCACTAATGGGGGCGTCCTCTTTAGTGCTCATTAAAAAGACTGTACGTTTTTAATAGCCAGTATAAATGAGCACTGGGTTTTTATGTTCGCTCAATTACTGGCCGTTTAGAAGGAAAGGAGAACTGAACGTAGGTTGTTTGGCTTCGTAACTCCTGCATATTACAGGATTATTGCGACTCCGAAGTGGTGACCTCGTGATGCCAGTTTGCCCGACTGAAAAGCTCCACCTTTTGTTTTTGCAAAAGATTTTATGGTACGGTTATTATTAGCCCACTAATATTTTCATTTTTAACTGCTGTAACATGCTGGTACTAGAATTACCATTAAGATGATATTAATTAGTCGTTACACTTTATATGACTGGCCATGTTTAGTATTGGAATTTCCTGTAGACATATTACAATTGTTATTTTAAATAGTTTAATAGATGATTTGAAGGTAATAGTGGCAAATCAGATGTTGGTACTACTGATTTTTACCAGATTTCTCAGAGTTAAAAGTTCACAGAGGGTCAAAAGTCATGCTTCTATTACTTTGAAAGAAAATGAACATGTATTATGTAAATGTAGAGCCATCACAGCCTTAACTCAAGTGTGTATGTAAATGTGTGCATTATTTTAACTCCTTCCATTGTATTCGAGGTTGACTAACTTCTATCTAGTGTCTTGCTTTAGATGCTTCAGATACTAGCCTACCTCTTAACTCCAATGCCTATTTTGTCTTTTCATATGATTTTGTTCAGCAGTCAAATTAAATTACCTGCAAGTTGTTTGCATATTTGTTTGCCAATTTTGAAAAAGCCATGTCCATTTATGAAGGAGGAGAAAATGGAAGACAATGTACTCAAAGACAGCAGACAAAGCTCTATTTTAGAAAACTCATAACATGCTATACCCGCAGTGGGTTGTTCAGTTATGCATACAGTGAGGTGTGCTTGCCTATGAAAATACACAGCTGTGTATATTGAAGGCATGGGTAGTAGTGAGAATACTTGAAAATACTCTTAGCCTTTGAGGTAGTGTAGTTCGGATACCAGTGTTGTACAGAATTCCCTTTAAGACAAACTCCTCAGTTATGAATTTGTACTCCAAAGTGTGACTTAAAAAATACTATGATCCAGGCGCAACTGTATGTAATATAGATATGTACATGTGAAATCCACTGTTACCAAACCCTTTATACACAGCAGTAGGAAAACCAAAAGGGATTATAGTGCACTTAGACTAGCTTTAACTTCTCCCATCATTAGCAAAATATGAATTTTTGAGAATGTCTTTTTTAATTATGCCGCTTATTACACCTGAAATTAAGCCCACATTTTTCATACCTTGGCTGAAATTTCTATCTCAAATAGACTCAATACACTGTGCATTGTACATTATTAGAAAATCTCTGTTTGAAATACATAAGCAGTGCAAAATATTAATTTACTATTCTGTCAAAAGCTGTCATGTGTTTATTAGAGGAATTCATTTCTATCACTATGGTTCAATTCAATTTGATCAAGTTTACCATGCAACCTTGTGTTATGGTATGAATAAACTTAAATGGGCTTAAATGTAAATGTGATTTCAGATTTATACATCTTATTTGTTTGGATAGATTCTTAACAAACTGATGGAGGATTTGATGATGCTAGATGCAGTTTTTCTTTTTGCGAGTGTTGCTGAATTGTAGTTTTTCAGTAGGTAGTTGGGCTGCCCTCCCAAAGGGGCTGGCAGGTGTTTGCATTTCTCTTGGGTTTTCTCATGCCTTCTTCTAAGTTGTGTCTGTTTTGCTTTTTTATTTGTTTTTGATTAATTTACCTAGAAAACATTATTATTCAAAAAGTTGTTTGTTTGGTGTATTTATTACTCTTCAAATGGATAAGAGGACAGTTAAATTTAGATTTTGGGGGGTTATGACTTTTGTTTTTCTGTTTTTATTTGTATATTGTGTCATTTTTCAAGCCAGCAAGCCGATGTGAAAGCTCTACCTCGTCTGAGCCAGTTCTGTTACACTTTTTGTATATCATTTCAAAAAGATGTAATGTCATGTCCACAATAAAGACACACAAAATGGCAGTTGGCGGTTATGTTGTTGAGTTTGTTTGTGCAATTTCTACCTTATGCATGTATAAATATATTTTCCTATTTGTCCATATACTTTTCTTTAGTAAAATACGCTGGTGTTTACATAGTGCCTGTCGATTGTGAAAAGGCCAAGTAGGCTAGATTCAGTTTAGTGATCGGTGAAACACTGGTATACACACAGCAATGTTTATATTCCTCTTCCTTTAGAGGCTGTGGGAGCTCATTCTGGCAAAATGGACCTTTTGGGTACAGTTTGGTCACTTGTGAGTGAGTGTGGGAAATATGACAAACAAATAATATTGTTTTCTTGAAATTTAGTGATTTTGATTCTATCACAATTCATTTTACACCTATATCTTCTTTGAGAGGCAAATTACATCTTTTGAAAGTTCGCACTTCAAGGTTGTATGGAGGATTTTTGTTTGTTTGTTTGTTTGTTTCAATTTGTCAGTGAAAGTTCAAAATAAAATTATAGAAAAGCAGCAGCCTTGTGATTATGATGACCAAACAAAAAAAAAAAAAAAAAAAAAAAAAAAAACATCAACTGTGGATGTAGTGGGGGCAGATAAACATCAGCCAATAGATAACAAGGCTACCTCTTTATCTATTGGCTGTTAGGTTATCAGTCAAACTCCCTACGTTTCCAGCGTCAATGACGTGCCGACGCGCTGGGATTGCGTGGTTTATGTTCGCCTATCACGCACTGATGCCATTTACTCAACCAGCACAGTGGTTCTCGGCGTCTTTTTCGAACTGTAGCTTCCTCTTAGTTTGCACAAAGTTTTTTTTTAATTTTTTCATGGCAGACAAGAATTCATGACCAGTTCACCGCAAAAGAAAGTCAGTTTTTGACGTCACTGAAAGAAGAAGAGAAGGGGAAAAGGAACGAAGTGCAACATTTAAAAAAGGACAAACATCTCTGCATTTCTCTTTCCTCAGAAAATCTTCTATACAACCTTTCATTGCAATTAGTCAAATCTAGCTGTCACTCACTCAGGGTGAACGATTTGAGAAGTGGATGGGAATAGAGTACGGTGACCAGACATTTCTGTTTACCCGGAACAGGACAGTCCCACTTTTGAGCCATTTGTCCCCTGTCCCAGCAGATTTATCCAAAACCACTGATTTGTCCCAGTTTTATACAAGAACTGTTCCAGGTGTGCCTATTTTTGACCAATATGATACCAGCTAACAGTAAAGAGAGGCATACATTGACATTTGTTTAGGTAAAATACAGAAAAGCTGCTTAAAAATGACCTAAACACAAAGAAAATGTGACTATACTGACTCACATTAGTGCCGAGTGCAGAACAGTTTTCCTTAATTACGCAGTCATTTCACAATTTTATTATTACCAACCAACCCGAACCAGGGATTTCCCAGTTTATTCTGAAAATCTGATCACCCTAGACTAGAGGGATATACTCGTATAGTGAATTACGGGTGTGCTCTCTCTGATTGCTCATCCTACATCAAATTTTACTCAAAAATGTAAGACCCATGTTTGATGGCGGTTAAGGTAAAACAGATCAGACTCGCGCCGTAGCTCTGTTCCCTCTCATAGCACGTGACCCGTTTGATGGATAGGACTTTGATGTTGTGCTGTGCGCCCGTTGGCACCTTGATGTCCGTGTGTGGCCGTCGCTGCCGGTTTGAGCCGAGCTGCCAAGGCAACAGTGATGAGAAACTCACCCTTCAACTACCAGGGGACCACCTAGGGATCCGATCCGAGCGCGGGCTGCTCTGTACACTCTGCCAGTCTCTTTCATGTTCAGTGTCTACGTGCGCCATCTGTCTGTCTGTTTGAGTGACGGCTGAATGACAGGTTCCCTCCGAGAACATGGCACATAACGCTAATGCCAGGCAGGCCCGCGGGCTGAGGTAAGACTGCAGCTGCCCGTCACTCTCTCCGCAGCCTCATCAGTCACTCCAGAGGCAGACGTGACGGCCCTGAGCTCCCCGCCAAACCTGTTCCCTGACATCTCTGCTTTCTGTCACCCGCACGCAGACGCTGAGTGACGGACTGACTGACGACTGAGTGAGTGACTGAGGAGAGAAATACGGCGAACGTCAAACCAGCTCAGATTTGATGGATAGGTGAGTTACACTTAAATGTGGCTTTATACAGTTGCGCCATCTGGAAGTCCCATACTGTTAAGAGTATAGGCCTGGCTGTGAGTTTATCGTTCAAACTGTAATGTTATACATTTATGTGTGGCGTGCGACTTTTTGTGGATCGATTTAAAATGTGTACAGGCAACAAAGATTAGATTGACTCTGTGTCTGCCAGGTCCACATCTGGCACTGTCACATTGGACACATTGTTATGGCACCTGGTAGCTCTGTATGTTCTCATGGCCCACGCACCACAGTCACAGGGTAAGTAGGTGTGGCCAGTCGACTTTTCCCCGTTTCTACTAAACCGTCTCCATTTATTCTCCTCATCCGCTGGTCATAGGCCTTACAGCATATTTAGTCCAGAGGGCACGGTCTAGCTCAGCCACCAGGGAGCAGTGTCCTCTGTAATGCTTTGGACAGGGGCCGCACAGGCTTCAAATGGCACTAGTATGCTGTGTATGTACGTTGGCAGCATGTTGTGGGCGGCCGAGGGGTAAATATACTTAAAGCTTACATGAGAGTGTGCATCAGTGAGCCAGCCCTGACTGCACTTACCACCAGAGAGCCCCGACTCCTCCGCGTTTCCCAGGCAAAAGGCCAAACACATTTACAACACTTCAAGTGTCTGCGACACAAGAACGCCCTCTCTACTGTGAAATATGTAAATATTGCACTAATCAAAGGGTTGTGGAATCGCAAAATGCCACGGAAAGGTTATGACCCGGAGCCTGTGCTAATAGGGGAGAGGGCGGGGGGAGGTAGAGGAGAGAGAGAGAGGGGCCGTGGGTGCAGCGGAGTGACAGCTACCACAGGCGTTTCTCCAGCCTGACCTCCGCCTCCTGCACTCCAACGCTCTGACAGTAATGAATAGGAAGGGGCTGTTTATGCATATCAAATGTTATTTACTCTCCCACAGTCAACTATAGCCACAGAGGAGGCACAAACACACAAGATATTCCCCAAGACCGTGGGCTGCCATTAGAGCAATGTGGACGGCAATGCAGAGAGCTTGACGCTGCGCTGAGGTTAATTCATCTATCTCTTTACATTACATCACATGGACACACTTCTGCAGTTTGACATTAATCTCTTTAAATGTTAGAAAGTTCTATACCTTGATTTGTCTCCAGTCGGTGACATGTCCAACATGGAAACAAGCAGTTTGATTAAGGGAGGCCTCCAAACTGCATCAGGGCCCCCACAAGACTTGAAATGGCCCTGCCTATGCTGACAGCCCTGCCTTTAACATAGGCAGGTCCTTAGTGAACTTGACAATGAACTTCTGATCCATGGCACATGATTATTTACAATAAGACCTGCCATACTAACAGCAGACAGAATCGAGGATGTGAACATGCATTGTAGTGGTGTAAGATAGGCTACTTTAAGCAGGATTAATTCTTTTCCACATTGACATGATTGGCCTTAAATAGCACAAACCTTCGAAAAGCCGGAGGGAGGACAGGCCCAGAATTATTCACAGAAACGACGCTGGGAAAATAACCTTGAGCATGAACAATGAAGACTTTTAGCTGGCGGTTTGTTGTCTCCTGGTTATTACTGCGAGCCTTGCGTGTCATCGTCATTGCTTTTACGGCTCCATTTCCCTTCAGCCTCTTATGAGAATTAAGTTGGATCTTAAGTATGTAAATGAGGAGGCACCCTCTCACATATGAGTCCCAGGACAGACCATGACATTTAACATCGCCTTCACTAATTTGTGCTTAATAGCCAAAAAGTGATTAGAATTAACATTAACGGCATTTCATATGTCTCCCCTTTCTACATTCATTACTCCTTCTCTCTAGCTGATACTAAACCAGCTAATACTACTGCTGCTGCCTGCTTATTAGAGCTTAAATTTTATGTTACACTTTTGGCATTTTTTTTCTCTTTTTTAAACAAGACAACAACAAAGGAAAGTGCTCTGATAAATCCTTTAGAATCGTTTCTATTGGTTACGCATTGACATTACAGCAGATTAAGAAATAGAGGAATCATTGCTCTTTCTAGCCTGTCACCCCCAGGCTTTCAACTTGTAACAAAGTACTGCCCAATATGCTTCATCTTTAAGCCTACAATAGAAATCACAGGATAACAGCGCCCAGTCATGTTGACATTTTATTATTATGAATCTGCTTAGATCTGCATAAGTGTGGATTATTGCAGTAGGAACAAGCTTTATGTTTCTATCAGAAGGCCTCGCGAGTAATTAGTGGTGGTCCCTAACCTTGTTCAAGGGCACTGACAGTCCCCCCGTGTGTTTTTCAGCTGCAAAGGGGTCACATGTTCCTATAGCACACTTTAGTGATGTTGTTCATGTTAGAGGTGGTCAGATCCATGTAAAGTGTAATTATAGTAGTGACTGGTTTCATACATTATGAATCTATATATATATTTAAGATATAAATGAAATTCAATTTGTCTGTAGAAAGGAAGTTTGATAAAAAAAAAATGTTAATAAGGTGATTGTACTTCTTGTGCTGTCTGTATAATCCCTCAGTCATCCAAACAGGTTCCCGTACTATTACTTGAATGTCCACTATTCACAACGATAACGGCTGCTGTTGCTTCTGCTCCCCCGCCACTATGTTTCTGTAATCTCACTCATTTATTTTACAATCGCGTTTATTATTTGTTTTATTTATTTATTTATTTATTTTAATCACAGTTTCACAGTTGGTTGTTCCATGGGCTAGAATTCAGCTACAATAAAGCACCATTCCAACACAATTTCAATTCCTCCAAATGGACATTGTTCTGCACACGCTCTGTATTTGTGTGTGCATCTTTGTTTGATATATCATCTCATAGGGCACATAGGACAGGGTTTATCTACAGAGGCGTTACCATCCCGCCTGTGTGTTGTAAAA